TTACACTTCATGAGTACTTCATCAAAAGTGAGGAGGAGAAGGAAAAGGAAAAGATACCAAGAGAAAAGAATAAAAAGCTTAAAAACTCCTTAGTAAAGTTTTTAATTCATTTTCCTCTTAAAACTCTGCTATCAGGTGCAAGCATGAAATATCCCTAGCTAAGAGGCTTTTCGGATTCACAAGCTTATAAAAGAGCATTAATAGTGAATTTGGATCTCTTTAGAAGGCTATATATATACATAATTGCTACTCTCAGTTTGAAACTTAACTATGAAGCTTGCCAAAATCGAGAACAACATTTGAACTGGATGGAACTACATTTTAAATGGAGTCCTTATAGAAACGTCACTGATTTTGTTACTGAATTGACAGCCAAGTCAACCAACTTAACATGGACACAAAAATAAGTGGAGATTTTCGTTTGCATGCATGACAAATAGATTAGCGGTTAGTGTTTTTCTTATAGTGGTTGTCATTTTGTTGAAGCTCTCACGGCATCAATTTTCTTTTTCTCCGCCAGAGGAAATTGTCATTAGCAAACTACATTGCACGTGGTTGGAATATTACCAGAGAGAGAGAGAGAGAGAGAGGATCTCAACCATGTACTTTAATTTCTCTTTTTTGTCCTTTTTGGATCAATCATAACAGTTTAAATTTTGCCAACAAAATAAATTTTCGAGAAGTAGGATTCAGATAATGTTACATAACAATAACATAACACATACTTTTAATTGTGAACAATCTTATTATTTCATGTCATTGTTACGAAATTATATAACGTGTCTTGTATACGATGAATTATAATTTGTCACTAAAGCTTTAGAAACTGGTTGCGCAATCATTTTTGCCCCAGATTTTCTTCTTCTTTATTTTAAGCTAATTTTCTTGTCTTCTTTTTTTTTTTTTTTTTTTTGGATCATTTAGAAATTTTCTTTTAAGTATGAGCCATTTCATAATTTAAGTTGTATTTAATATGCTACTTACAGATGGGATACAAGATAGACGCCCTCTAGCCAATTCAAAATCGCCCAGATACATAGACTCAATATGACATTGTACGGTCTGGGCACTGACGGTAACATTTTCAGACAGAAGAGAGAAGATTTGGGGTAAAGGATTTAGGGAAACTGTAACAATAATCTGAACAGGTAGTGGCTAAATATGCTTTCCTAGCAGTTTTTTTTTTTTTTTTTTAAATCTTCGATGACCTTGAGTTCTTTTTTGTTTCTATTTTTTTATGTTGACTACTTTATAGCTTGATATCCTTTATAGGGCAATAAAGAATCTATTGTTAGTTATATTTGGTTTCTGAGGGGTCATGAGCTATTGGAAGGAAATGATTTTCTTTAGCATTTTTTTGTGATGCAGCCATTGGGATGGATCCCTGAATCTTTGGTACATAAAATTTTTGGTATTTTACAGGATGTAGATAGTTCCTTTTTCTGTAATTGTTTTCAGCTAAATTTAAAGATAGTACTGTTGATGGCCTTAGCCCTTCTTCTCTTGATCTAACACGTTGGCCACACCAGTTTCTAGAATCTCCCTGGGATCAGTTATAAGGTTGATAAATTTTGGAAGAAAAAAAAAAAGAAAATCATGGTTGCAGAATGGCTTTGATACTAGAGGTACAGGGTATATAAATAAGGGATGAAGCATGCTGGGAGAGGTATATTCGTTTGGCAGATGGCAGAGATAGACATTAAACGAAGATGTCCTATAGTCAAGTGATGTATGATACTTAGCCATAAAAGTGGATTTTGATTGTTATAAGTATAGGTGGCAAACAAACTCATTTAACTAAATTTATCCATATTCGTCCATGAATAGAAAGATATCGGTATTTTAAGTTTTTGTATATAGGTACAAATGAGTTATCTAATAATATCCATTGAATAAATGGGTATTAATGGATAATACATCAAATCCAATTAACCCATTTAGAATTGTCTCCCCAAAACCTCCTCTCTTCCCCCACCCATTTTTTTTCAAATTCTTTATTTTGTTATGATGTTAATTACTTTTGTTTCATTATTATTATTATTTATGGGTTTTATGTTATCATTTTATTTTCTCTTAGTTTCTTAACTTACTCATTTTTTTAGCATTCCCAATTTATGACAAGTTTTAGCCTCTTTTTCTACTTTTTCAAAATGAAATTTTAAATTTACACAAAAAATATTAGGAATTCAAAATTTTTGAATCAAGTTTTATGTTAACTTTTATAGTACTTATGTCAAATTTTTATATTCTTATTGTTCAATTATTAAATAGTATATAATTTTGCGACATAGAGTACGGATGAAAAAAAAATTGGTAACTAGGTTTATTGAATATTATAAATAAATATTTAAAACTAATGATGGGTGTGCAAATGGTGGTACAAATTGATAACATAGTTTACAAAAATGAATTTAAATGAGTTTATGAAAAGATAAAATAAATGGGTTATAAATGGATAATTGAGTTACCCAATTCATTTTTTTGATTTACTCATTTATACCCATTACCCATTTTAACCAACCCATACCCGATCAAGTCATCCATTTTCACACCTCTAGTTATAAGAAATTAGGAAAGATTGTTGCTTGGAAGTATTTTGATCAGTTGTATTTTTTTCCCCTTCTAGTTAACTGTCTAATGTTCCTTTGCTTTATTTACTTCAAATAATGCTAATCGATACATTGTCAATTGGGGAAGGGATGTTTGTTTGGATAAGAGTTTATTTGGATGATTTATTTGAGATATTTACTGTAGCACTTTTTGTGATGTGATGTATGTGAGATAAAAAGGTGGTTGAGAAGATAAAAAGGTGATTGGGATTTGTGAGACAAAATTTTTTTTTCCAAATTCTCTCTGTCCAAACAAACTCGATCGATGTTTTCCTTTAATTATTCATTGCATTTTCTCTTTCAGAAAAGGAAAGTGAGAGTTGAATATGAGGTGGAAATACAGTGGAGATTAAACTTGTACTTTCCTCTGGGGAAAAGGAAAGCTTTTAGGGGCTGTTGGAAATTGAGAAGGACGAGTTAAATATGATGTGAATAGTCACTTAATTTTTGATCATTTTAGAGGTTTCTGCAATTTCTTTGTGCAAGATTGTAGCATGCTATATAAACAAGACGCTGGACCATAAACCCAGCCAACTGATACAAGTTGATAGTACTAGCTGAAATGCCTAGGCTCATCTTCCTGTTGTTTTAGGAAATAGAGAGAGAGAAGAAAATAGTCATTGTGGTAATTCTGAACTGATGCTTGAAGTGTGTTTTGTGCACGCTTCTCATGATACATGTTGGATAGTGTAGGATTATAACTCGATGCAGCTGAAATTCATTTGAGATACTGCACAGCATAGCTCTTACAGGCTCAAACATGTATCATATACAAACAATGGAATTCTATTATTTAATTAGTCTTTCTTGCACCTCGTATTGTCTACAGTTTTAGCGTATTGTTTAGTAGTTATCTGCTTAAATTCACCCTTTTGATGATTTAAGATGCTTGTCACTCTTCTCATGACTACGATGTTATCCTTTTTTTTTGTCAGCTACGATACATTTGTATAACCTACTCTATCCTAATTTAGGGGAGGTGAGCCTAAAGAGGCTGTTATAGGGGCTAGTGGGTATACAAACCCAACTAGACCAAGAGAGTGTTATGGCACAACCCTTAAATTTTTTTCGCTGCTGGTGAGGTTTGAACCCTAGCCAACAGCCCAAGGAGGGACTTAAGTCCCTCCCTGGTGGCCACTGAGCCATTGGCCCCGTGGTTAACTACGATGTTATCCAGTGTGGCACCAAATGATGATTTACCATGTGTTCCTTGTCCTTAGACTTGTACCATGCTTGATTGATGTACAGGAACCTTTGAATTTAGATCCATTTTTTCAAAGATTTATTTTCTGATTTTAGTAGATAAGTATATAATTTTACAAACTTCAAGGTAGATGAATAAAATTGTCAGAAACCTCTCAAGACTCAAGAGAGGTATGTGAAATTATCCTAATACATCCACATCCCATTAAAGTCACTCCGTCATCTGCACCTCGAAAGTCATAATCACGTGGACATGCACATGTTCGACAGCCAGAGATGAGCTACCAATTATTTGCGCTTTTCTCTTTCTTTTGTCAGAAAACAAGTGGCTCGAGTCTTTGTTTATTCCAACAAAAACTCAGCAAAATCGATGCCATTAGGCTGGCGTTCCTTGTGCCTTGTGCCTTGTGCACTTAAAAGATTTTCGTCCCCCGGGGAGGGTTTATATTGAAATTTACGTTATAATACTTCCTTGTCTCACTTTGATAATCCTATTTTTCTTTTTCGTCTGTCTTAAATTATAATCCACTTTTTAATTGAAAAATATAATAATATTTTAATTTTTCTAAAATATCCTTATTTAATGTAAGTTATTGTTACTATAAACTTACCCCATTTAATGAGAGTTGATTCTTTTTTTATCATCAATTCAAGTTCCCATAAAGTTGTACTTTAATTAATGTGAGGGTATTTTAGGAAAATAGTTACCTAAATTGATTGTTCCAATAAAATTAACTGTTTTTTCTTAAATTATGTGAAAAAAATCAGAACTATCAAAATAAGACGGAGAAAGTATTGCTTATTAGGGCAGTGTATGAATGTGAAAGTTCATTATTGTACATTTTTTTTTGTTCCCATGTGTTCATTTTTGTCGCTTTCATTCTATCAAATTCTTTATTTTCTCCTCCCTGACCGGAGCCTAAGCTTGACCCTGGCCACCCTGACAATCAAGAAAGAGATACATTACAATAGTGATTTTGTTTTTTTCTTTTGTTTTCTTTCCTTTTTTTTTTTCTGCAACGACAACGAAGCATCTTACTTCTACTCTAAACTAATTATAAGAGGGGAGAAGTTTAAATAGACTTACATGAGAGTTAAAAGATGAACCGTCAGATCAGATAAATAAATACGACACTATATTATAATTTATTAAATTAATATTTTGAAAGTGTGATGGGAAACCACTTGCCACTACACTAATGGCACATAATTCAGAACTAAGGCCTTAAGTTCCCCAAAGTTTTTCTTTGTTTATACACAAACAGGGTCTGCCAAACTCCCAATCATATCAGGTGTTATTTTTTTCTTTTCAAACGCAAGTCAACTGGTGGGTGTCAAACCACCAAAAATAAAATTTATATTAGACCTACTACCAAAACTGAATAAGTATAGTGGTGAGTAGGGTCGTCTCCTCTGGGAACAGGTAGGCAAATCACACAGGAAAATGGGGGGAGATTTTAGCAGTAGTACCAACTAATTTAAAAGGAATAAAAACTGAAATTTAAAGTTGAGTAAGATCGCAGGAACCAAATTACACAAATAACAATTAATTAAAACAACCTAGTCAAGGAATTAATCTTGGCACCGAAGCACACAACTGATCACAGATACAAGGGACAATTCATATACTCACGAATAAACTGGTTATAGTGGTCAAGCGACGCACCCAACCACCAATCTTTCCTTAATTTTATGGTAGTCAAGAGACGCTCATAAACTACCCTCTTGTGATTAGACAACCCCAGGAATGCTCACAGGATTTAATGTAGCCACAGCATTAGGAATTAGAAAGACCCAATTCTAGATGACAAACACACATGCGGGTTTATTTAGGCTAGATTAATTATCCCCACGATCCAAATTAAACCGCTTGCGAGGCGGTGAAATTGTCTCGTTTGCTACTAATCAAGATACTTAAAGGCGACGCGCCAACATCCTAATTGGCTATCAATTATTTAGACAATCGAATAACAGGCCTAATTATCCAATAAATCTAAACAGTAATAACTCAGGGAAAAATAGAGAATAATCAAATACCCATGAACATATAAATTAAAAATAAAACAATTAAAACGATCTCACAGTTATGGTGCTCCAATCCTTGATTTATTTCTCAACTAGATAAAAGATTCAGCCTTGCCACATAACGACGAAGCAATTCATAGTTTTCATGAAGTTTTTGCTGAACCCAAGACGAAGTGAAAAACAATGCGGCCGCTAAGCGACTAACAATGATAAAGCAAAAGCCGAGAGAAGAAAAGTCCAAGACGAAGATGATCCCTAGTCTATTGCTGTTTTCTTCTTTTATTCTTGCGCCGCCACCCACGTGCTTTCCCAAGTGGAATTTGTGTTGGAAAAGAATTCCCAAGTTCTTCTTCTTATTTCCCTTATTGAAGTGTTGCCAAAAAGTCTTCTTCCCATTCTATTTCCTAATCCCACGTAAGTTTTAAAGTATGGCTCCAAGGAAAGGCGGTGGCCCTAGGAATAGGACCCGCAATCCGGTTTTTTCACGCAACTCTGCATTGTCTAGCATGGGCACGCCTTAGAGGCAAGAGTCTTCTGGATTTTGTCTCCCTTTCGTCACTTTCAACACTAATTGCCTGTAATTAACACAAATACTAATTATGAGCAGAAATCAAATACTTTGTATACTAAACTGCCAAAATTAAGACCAAATAACCACAAATAAAATGCATAATTATATCCCTATCATCAACAAACCAATGGAGAATAATACACAAATTCATGGTTTTCTGTTCCTACAACCTTCTTTTGATAACAATCCAACCTTCACAATTGCTTTGTAGGATTTGAAACATAGCCAGACAAAACATGCTGAAAAGCTAGCTTGAATCAAGAGGGCTAGGATTTAAAGAAGCATAATGGAGAAGCTCCTGATTTTTCTCCAGTGTAGCCATGTACTCTTCTTTCATGGTCACCAATGCTTCAATCCCATCACCAGATTTTGTTTCGATCAGATGAGCAATATTTCCCAATCCGTGTAAATCTCTGTTTCCACGCGCAATGCATGTCCATATGGGCTTTCCCCATCCAAAATCAGCCTCATAAAAACCAGTCTTGCGGATGCTGCTGATATAGATACATTCAGCCATACTATTAGGGTCATAAAACACTTCATGGAAATCTTTTAAGGCTATCCCATTCTCACCATTTATAGATTCAACAAAATCAGCGTTCATTGTACCAATGGAATTTGAGATCTTGTTTACCAGCAATTCCAGCTCTAGCTTAGGATTGTCACAACATTTAGCACGAGCCAACCAGATGATATTTCCTAGTGAATGAGGTGATAAAGGGGGCGAAACTTTTGTCCTCAGATTCACCGGGATAAACAAAACAGACCTTACTTTCCAAGCTGCTATGGCAGATTTCCATAGAAGTCCCATAACAGCCTTGGCTGAACTTGGTTTCGCGGAAGATGTTGATGTAGCTGCCTTGGATTTAAGAGCAGCCAAGGCCGAGCTATCGAACACAAATCTGCTTGTAGCATATTTAGGCTCGTTCTTTTGTGGTTTGGAGACCACAGGAGGTGAATCTTGGTACATATCCAAAATGGGAGGAAATAAGGAAGATGAAATAAAACTGGGATTTATTTGTACCGTTGATTCGCGTGCTGTAGCTGCCCAAGTTTGCATGAATGTAGAAACTGAGAGACCATCAAAAATCTTGTGGGAAGCACTTAAGCAAATGGCAATACCACCACAGTAAAACATGTTTACTTGAACCATGATAGGATAACTTTTTGACAATAATTCCGTGGAATCTGGATGAAATGGACATAGCTGGTTCATGAACTCATTTTCAGGCTTCCTCAGAAAATCTAACAGTCCAATATTGGTTTGAGTTTCGACGTAGTAAACTCCATCATCATTACACTCAATATGCAAATTATCTTTGATTTTTCCTGCTAGTGGATAGAAGGGTACTAAGGTTTTTGATAGTGATTCCTTTAGACATCGACTTCTTTGGGAAATAACATCGTTGAGATAAGTGCCTTGTTGTTTTCTTGGGGAGAAAAAGAACAATATATTTGTATAAGAGTCACGAGTAAGTTGATCCAAGATTGAAAACTTAAAGGTTCTCAACTCAGGGGGAGTTGGAGATGCTGGCTTGATTTCTTCTTTGGAGATAATTTCTATGTCCATATATGCAGTTTTCTGATTGACACTCAAATGAATGCTGCAGGGACATGTTTACAAGAATTTTTAGCCATTAAAAAAGAGGATAAAATTATCATAAAATTAAAATTTTAAATTTAATGGAAGAATAAACTTTATTGTTTGTTTTTCATATTTAAGATCAGCTCGTCTGGGGCTGTTTCATTGGCAATTCTGCTTTTGAGTAATAATTTTCAAATTATACTAGTACGTTGTAGTAAATGAATTACGCCCCCTATAAATTGAGAAAGTCCTAATTTTCCTGCCAATGACAATAAAAAGAAAGCAATATGAATAAGAGTATTATCAAATTCACGAATAATTATTGCTTTTGGACTAAAAAAACATATAATTAGCTAGAGTTTCAATAACTTCACGTTATTGTGATGAATTTTTGGGACTTTTAGAACTATTCCATAATATCATAAACAAGAACAAAACTCAAAACATGAAATTTTTGCTATGTCATGATACATGTTGGATAGTGTAGGATTATAATTCGATGCAGCTGAAATTCATTTGAGATACTGTACAGCATTGCTCTTACAGGCTCGAACATGTATCATATACAAACAAAGGAATTCTATTATTTAATTAGTCTTTCTTGCACCTCGTATTGTCTACAGTTTTGGCGTATTGTTTAGTAGTTATCTGCTTAAATTCACCCTTTTGATGATTTAAGATGCTTGTCACTCTTCTCATGACTACGATGTTATTCAGTGTGGCACCAAATGATGATTTACCATGTGTTCCTTGTCCTTAGACTTGTACCATGCTTGATTGATGTATAGGAACCTTTGAATTTAGATCCATCTTTACAGAATTTACCCTGATTTTAGTTAGCTATTTGACTAATTGAACATTCACGAACACTTAAAGACCAAGTCAAACTGTTGATTACTAAAGAACATGCAGTGAATCAGCTCAATTAGATTGAACTCTAATTTTCTATGGTTGCTTCTGAGTAAGAATTGTTCAAATAAGTTTTTAATTAGATCATGCAAAACAGGATTAAGATTTTTATGTGTGATGCTATAGCTGAAATGCTTATGATGTCATGCTAATTATTATTTTCAAAATCTGCCATCGAAGTTTCTATTGAGTGATCATTGGTACTTGCCGGATTAAAGTAAGCTTTGAAAATTGTGTCTGGAACTGTATTTGGTACCTTATTCGAGTGGGGTTGGTAAGTATCATAATTGAGTGAGCATTTGAAATTAAACCTGCGTGTTATTTGGCTCGTGTTCTGCAAATTGTGTCTTTTATAGTCCACTAGTGAGACGCCCTGCGCGTTGCGCAGAGTACTAATATTTTCCATGTTAAGTTGCTTTAATTTTTAGCCATTATATATTTCTTATAATGTAGAGAGTTATATAATTGTTATAAGTCTGGCTTGAATTATAAAATAATAGTGTGATAAATTGGTTGGGTGAATATAGTGTTAATAGTTTGTGAAGTATGGAGGATATTTTGTAATATAATGGTTAATAAAGTACTATAATTGAGACAATGCGGTGTCGACATTTTCTGTCGTATGATTTGTGTAAATTATGTGGTCTGGATGAGATAATTATAAAGATACCCGTCTATATTTATGTATATCTATATTACTCACTAAGTTCCATAAATATGGGCCTATTTCCTTTTTTTGCACAAATTAAAACATTTAATCAATATAATCACAACAATTATTTTTCTTTCATATTTTTGTAAAATGCCGTTCACTAATATTAGATCATTAATCCACATTAAGAGCCATGTATTATTACATTGTTTTTGAAATTTACAGTACTTTAATTTTTTTAATGTAAGAAACAATGTAATTAATGTTGCATGTTTGACTAAAAGAATAACAAAAAAATAGCATACAACATTGCTTTTCAATTTAAAGTAATTTAGAGCCATTAGGAAAAATTTTATAATAATTATATATATACATTAAATATGGATATCTATCTAACAATATAAAAGTGAGAGTTACCCCATGAACAGTGTTTTTTGGTCAAGCAGTTATCCTGCAATTGTTATTGGATACTCGGACTATTAGTAAATAACATATTAACTATTCTTTTTTATAGAATGAAAAATAAGAATAAAAACAAGGACATTAAAAATTTATAATAATTATATAGACTAATATGGATATATAGACTAATATATCTTATAATTGTATGTTTTAAAAAGTAGTAGGATTAGAAACCATTTTTAGTCCATGACGCCTTAACCAATTTTGGTTAATTGTAATAACAATGTTGGACTTCTTGAAGGTTAATGATTAATATGATATAAATTTGTGTTAATGTTTAATATTATATATATGTATAACATTAACAAAATGCACAAATAGCATGCAAAGTAGCACCTTCTTGAAGATTTTGATGAGCTTCTAGAACAGAAGCAGTGGCATCCAAAATAAATGCGTTCAATTGCACTATGGATTGAGTAATAATCGTATTCAATTCCATGTGCTCAATGCAATTCGAGGATGACGATAAAATACTTAATTTAGATTTAATGCAATTCCATGTGCTTAATTTAAGATAGCTCTATCTACTCCAGTCAAATGTCGAGTAAGATAGCTCTTCAAACTTCTTATACAACATTTGTATAATGGATCTCCCACCAGTAAATAATTTATTTGGCTCTCGTGAAAGGGGAGGACATACGGGAATCAAGATCTGTTGATCGTCAATATTACGAACCAACTGCAAAAGCAAACTATTAACACCACCACTCTGGTTGCCCGTTCCTTTATTCTGATTCTTCCCACCTTTTGTAGCCCGCAAATTAAAGGGAAGGGGTAGGAACCAATTGTCAGTACAACTGTTTCTGGAAAGTGTGTTATTGTTTGAATAAATTAGACTAATTCATTGTTAACTTCTACAATTTCGCAACAGAAGTATGATGTTCGATCAATGCTCGTGTAAGCCCCTAACATTAACTGCAACTCTGTTACGAAATTGTATGAGTAAGTTACAATGAATTATTGCTTGTTCAAATGATATTACACTATTCAGAAATGGTTACACTGACAATCCTTAACTTTGTCCCTCTTTCTTGAGTTTAGGGGGCACTTTAAGTAAATCTATTAGGCCTTGCCTAACTTTTGAAAATAGAGTCACATAAAAATTGCATAGATATGGTTGCTTGCCTTATTGTATGCCTGCATATTTTTCGAACACACTAGATTACTGGGATCTGTGATTTCATATTCCCCTTTACAACTAACCTTCAAGGACTGCATTGTAAATATACAGGTCAATTAGAAAATCACGAGTAATTTTACTTTGTAAGAATGCATGTGACAAATGACAGTGTTCTGTGATATCAATAGGTAACAAACAAAAGAAATAAGTTACCTCATAGAGTTCATCAGAAATCAGCCCCATCGCATAAGCAAACGGAACCCTATAGTTCAGAATTCTTGAAACCTTCGTTATTGGATTTCCGAGTATGTATCCCTGAAGCCATAAATGGAAACGTCTCAGTTTTAAACTCAGGATGGTAAATTTTTCTCCAAATAATATGTAATCAATCAAGATTAGGTAGACTAGAAAAGAGAAGATCATCAAAGGTATAGACCTTAAGATCAATACGTGGTTCAATGCCGTCCTCGATTCCTGGAATAACACCAAAATACATGTAAGTTTTAGGGCTTAATAGTCATAGAGCAACAAAGCATTGATCCTATACTCTCTGTATTTAGCAAACTTCAACTGATCATCTTGTGGCAGGAGATAATGTAGAACTCTGAACTGGTCGAAGAAACGTTTTCTTGCTTTGTTCTGGAGCGTCTTATAACTTAACATATGGACAAAAAAGAATAAAAAGCCTGCAAATTTCTGAGGGAACTTTTAACCTTTTTTCCCCCTCTTAAAGCTCTGCATTATGTTAATAAAACCCATTTAGCTTAAGGTGGCAACTATATTCCTACCTAAAGAGTCTTTGCATATACTACAAGCTTACAGAAAGCATTTATAGTATATTCAGATCTCTTACAATGCCTATGTATCTCTGCATAAAAATTTCAATAATCAGATTGTAACACAACCAAAAAACTTCCCCAGGGTAAAGAGCCACATTGAAAAAATCTTACCATTTGATATAAGTTGAGTTAATATTGGAACAGGAATGCCCCCATACGAGATTCCTCTAACATAGAATGGATTCGACTTGTAATCTGGGTGATCATGTAGCCAGTGCAGTATAATCAACTATTAATAGCAATCTTGTAAGAGGTAAACATCTTTTTAACTATAATTTCTTTCCCATTTCAAAGGAAATTAAGCTTTTAACTCGAGGTTCAAATGGGTAAAAATGCAACAAATATCGCGCACCCGAACCTCTATAATTGGTAGTTGCAATTGCACTGTGTGAGACCCCGTAAATTTTCTTATTTTCTAGGTTTTATTCTATTTAATTGCATGCTTTTCTGCATTTTCTTTATTTAATTTTTATGAGGAAATAGAGTTTTGAAATGATTTTTCTAGTATCGGTTAGTTTTTGAGAAATTAAGAGCGTATACCGAACGTGGGACCAGCTAGTGCGGAAAGTTCGGTAAAATTCGGTCAGTTAGGTTAAGTGTTGGATACCGGGTTTATTTTAGCAGGTGTTAAGAGATAATTAGAGGATACCAAATGGATGAGAGTTGGTGAGACAAAAGGATAGCCATGCATTAATGGTAGTGACAAGTGTCACTTGGTGGTTAATTTTTTACTTTGACCACTATTCACTATTTTACCAATTAAATCAAAAATTACCCAAAAATCATCTTCATTTCAAGCTTCTTGTGGCCGGCCTCTCTAGGAAGAAAAGAAAAGAAAAGCACACCAATTTCTTGTTCCAATCTTGCTCAATCCAACAAACCAACCGATTAATCTTGAATTTTCTCCATAAAAACCCTTAGTTTAGTGATTGTGAGGTGATTAGTGAAGTGGTTTGGAAGACTAAGGTGCTAAGTTGTCTCCTTTCTTTGGTTGATAAGGTGAGTAGCTAAGGAACTTCTCTTTTCTATCTAATGATGTTTCATTAGTGGCTTGTGGTAGTCTAAGAGGTGATTTTGTGGGTTATTTCATGATTTTGGTTGAGATTGGCGAATTTTTCTATTTATTCATGATTTTTCTGTTTTTATACGTTTAATATTGATTGGCCATGAATGATGGTTGGGAATGATCTAGAATGAAGCTATGGTGCGTAAATTGTGGCTATTTGCGGAAAATTTCCGCTTTGAAAGGAAATTTCGGAATTAGGGTTTCAATGAATCCCATTCTGTCCGGTACTGTTTCTCCTAGTCATAGGTCGAATTAGCCTTAGGTTAAAACATAAAAGTTGTAGAGAATGATGTTTTATAGTTGCCTGCAAAATTTCAGCTCAATCGGAGCAGCGTAGCTTGTGAAAAGATCGAAATACCCCTGCTTCCCTGTTTCTGTCTGAAACTGATAATCCGCTTCTGTAATTGGTTAGTTTGATCGAGAATACTACTGATTTGGTTGCTGATGTATTCTTAAGAAATATAGCCTGGTATCTTAGCTTTCGGATGGCTTTGGAATTACTTGAATTGGACTTCGGTAGCCTGAGTTATGGTTATTTAACCAGAATGCAGTTTGCTAACCTGTTTATGCGGTTCTGGTTTGGTACGTTGAAATTTTGACCTAGTTGCACTACAAACTGGACTGAGTGGTCTTCTTCAACATTGTAACCCTTTCGTTTAGCTTCGAAACGGTGTATATTTTACATCCATCTGATAATCGTAGTGCTGGTTGTGTCAAATACGCTAAACAACGTCAAAACTGCTTTTGGGTTTTAGGGCTTAACTTTCATTTCCGGACTTTCCCTATCATACTTTGGTTCTTATACGTTTTAATGGAGCCTTATTTTTGGTAGTATGTGGATTTGGTTTATGACTTGTAATCGAGTCTTATTGTGCTTGTTTGAATGTTTTAGGGCGTGACGGTGATTCAAGATGCTCTTTGGGCGGAAGTTTATGAAATTTCATTTGCTTGCTTGGTGAGTGTACTACTCACTTGCTTGTTACTATGTGGCTTTGTTACACTTGAACTTGATGCCTTGAATGCTTATTTGCACCGTTGAAACTGATTAAAGTGAGGGTATACTTGATCACTCTCACCCTTTTGTCTCATATATGACTGTTTACTGTGGTACTTGAATGGTACATGAAATACTGGATTTGGTGTCGTTTGGATGAGTATCCAACGGCCATTACTGTTACTACTGAGCTCAACCCCATTGGTAGTCGATTGAATCGAGCCGGCGAGGGCTTGGTCGTGGAAATTGACGAGCCATGGGGACTGTTATATGGAATCTTGTAGTATGAGACTCTCGATTCCGGTATACTCGAGTATTACCAACTTTATACTGTTTGGAGTTCGAGCCCGGTAGGGGTATGTTGGGTGGAAGGAATGGAAGTAAAGTGGAGTCTACGTTTGGTTACACTTTGTACATTGACGGAGGGTCAATGAGATACGATCAAGTATGGCGGGTGAGCGAGGAAAGGGGCTCTTGAGAGCCGTCCGTATCCTTTTACCATTGTTATTGATATGTGACTTTATTTAGCTTTCTTCTTGAATGATTTGGGATTGATCGACTCCATGTATAATTGAACTTCCTTGCTTGAGTGAAAGTATCTCACTGGGCGTAAGCTCACTCCATTAAATTTTATTTTCCTTACAGGGAACCACTTTTGGGGACTATGATGTTTTGAAACATGAGTTGAGCTAGTTTTAATATATTTTGTAAAGCTCCTCGATAGTTGGAAAAACCCTAAATGTATTTTGATCTACTTATCTTCATTTTATTTTGTAAATTACAAACGTATGTGTATAACACTGTTTAACCCTGTTTATGTGTTCTATTTGGTTTGGAAATATTTTTCCAAGTTATATGACATGGCACCCACTTTTCATCGACGGTTTGATTTGCGTTTGGCTAGTTTGCTATTTCGACTTGTTTGAGCGCGCTTTTATTTTCCTGGAACGTTTTAGATCGTGTTTGCCTGCACCATTAGTCCTGGCGAGAGTTGGGCAAGCAGTCCGCTAACCTCTTTGGTTCGCCTTAGGGGAAGGTGGGGCTATCACAGGTGGTATCAGAGCCTAGATTTGAATTGACCTGGGCGTGTTAGAAATGCTTGACTTGAGGATTACTTTGATTGTGTCCCTTAAGATTATTTATGCTTATTTCCTCTTTGGTGTAGGATGGACGGACATAGTGGGCCTAGTGGTAGCCCTATTGGTGAGCGACCCCGGGGAGTGCTCCCGACGATTAAGTACCTGATTCGGCCAAGAGGGGCCGTCATCCGTTGGGGCCCGGCTAACCGCCTCCGACATTGTGAGTGTCATCACACTTACGCCTACCCCAACACCGTTGTGTTGGCCGTGGTAGAGGAACGAAAGGAGTTGGCGAAGGATAACACTAGGCTTGAGGCCGAGGTGAACCAACTAAGGGCAGCTAACGAGAAACAAGTCGAGCGAATTAAGGAATTAGAGTACGACGTGATCGAAAGTCAAGATAGGGTGGACGACCTTTGCGCCCAACTTGGAGAGGCCCGTAAGCGTATGACTAAGCGAGCTAGGAAAGTTAGGGTTCGAGCCGAATCGATCTTGAACCTTTGCGACGATGTGCTCGAGGAGGAGAGCGACGAGGCTTCGTGTGCGGGGGGCGAGGCTGGAGGTAAATCCACCCCGTCGGGAGGGTCCACAAGTCCGACGACGGACTAGGTCGTGACTCCTAGGGTCTTTTGGATGGTTTTGTCTTCTGTATATAGGACGGATAGGGGGAAGAGCCTTAGCTAGCCGTTTTGTACGTTTGGATTAGCTATGTGTATATTATTTTTGATGAGGCCATTCCCTTATGGATTGTCTATATTTGTACTTGACTGATTGCTAATGTGTGACTGTTTGATGTTATCCTGTATTGTATATCTGTTAGATTGTGGAAAGCTTTTGATTTCTTACTTATCATTATCTTTAATGTATAGTTACGTTTGCCTAGATTGACTTAGACTGATGGAAGGCACTCGTAGTGATCGGGGCGTGGGCGCGAGAGTAGACAACCCACGTCGGACAGGGGCCCCGGGGAAACTTCGCCTGGACCTAACCCTGAACCTAGGGTTGACCCTAATCTCCAAATAGCTGCTGCTATGCAGCAAATGACTAATTTACTAGCCCAAGTGGTGCAGCAACAGGGTCAAAATCGTAACCCTAACCCTGGAAACCTTGGCAACCACGTCGAGAGCGAGGACAGAGCTCTCGAAAGATTCCAAAATTTTGCTCCACCCAAATTCATTGGGGGGCCCGATCCAGATATAGCCGAACGGTGGCTCGAGAAGATGGTGGATATTTTTGCTGCCTTGCACTACACCGAAGAAAGGCAGGTGACTTTTGCCGTCTTTCAGCTAGAAGGGGCGGCCCGTTCCTGGTGGAACGTCATACGGCAGAAGTGGGAACGTGAGCAAATGCCTCGGACCTGAGTGAATTTCATACGAGGGTTCAACGCGAAATTTTTCCCTCATTTAGTCCAGGAATGAAAGGAATGTGAGTTTTTCCGACTTCGCTAAGGGGCCCAGTCTGTAGCGGAATATGAGAGTCAGTTCACCCGCCTATCCAAATTTCCTCCTGAGCTGACCATGACCAAGCAGCTGCGAATAAGGCGTTTTATCCAGGGTCTGAACGTAGAAATTCAGAAGGACCTTGCCGTGGCCTAGATTAACGCTTTTAGCGAGGCCGTCGAGAAGGCGCAACGAGTGGAAAGCACTAGGCTCCAAGTAAGGAACTTCCAGGCAAAGAAGCGAGACTTTCCTGGGAGCAGTTCGGGACAGGGAGAGAAGAGTGCTCCTCCCAAGTACGGACGGGGGTTTGGAGGTGGACGGCAGACGGGAGTAGGCAGAGGGACTCCGTCTAGGAGTGGCCAAGTTGAGCGAGGCCAAAGAGGAAATTTTCAGGGAGGCTCAGCTTCAGCACCTCGCGGTCCCTGTAGGCATTGTGGGAAGCCAAACCACACGGAAGATAATTGCTGGAGGAAGGAAGGGAAATGTTTACGCTGCGGGGGTGCAGACCACCAATTGGTCACTTGTCCGGTCCTAAAACAAGATGGAAGGGGAAGCCAACAACCGCCGAGGACCAATTCTGGACCAGCGAAGGGGGAAGGGACTAAACCTAAGGTGCCAACTCGAGTGTACTCGTTAGAGTCTCAACAAGTTCCAGATTCCTCTGAGGTCGTAGAAGGTACGATCCCTATCTTCCACCGTTTTGCAAAGATTTTAGTAGATCCCGGTGCCACCCATTCCTTTGTTAACCCTAATTTCATGTGTGGCATTGATATAAAACCTGCTAGTTTACCTTACGACCTAGAAGTTAGTACACCTACGAGGAATCAACGTTTGGTTACTAGTATGGTTTATAAGGATTGTGAAGTGTGGGTGGGAGAGAAGAGATTGTTAGGGGATTTGATAAGCCTGTCCATTATGGGGTATGATGCGATCTTGGGTATGGACTAACTAGCCAAGTATAATGTCCAACTGGATTGTAAAAAGAAAGTGGTAGAGTTCCGCATTCCTGGTGAGGCAACTTTAAGGTTGGATATAAGGGGTAGATTAGCCTCATCTGCTTTGATTTCGGGCATTCGGGCTAGAAAACTGCTAAGTAGAGGGGCACAAGGATTTTTAGCCTTTCTAATTAATACCCCCACGGATAAATTGAAGGTAGAGGATGTGCACATAGTACGGGAATTTTCGGATGTATTCCCTAATGAGTTAGTAGCCCTACCTCCGGAGAGAGAGATAGAATTCAAAATCGACCTGTTACCGGGAACCTCGCCTATCTCAAAAACCCTGTATCAAATGGCCCCTGCGGAGCTGAAGTAGATGAAATTGCAATTACAAGACCTTTTGGAGCGAGAGTTCATTCAAGAGAGTGGGTTTCCTTGGGGAGCCTCTGTGTTGTTTGTAAAGAAGAAGGACGGGAGTCTGCGGATGTGTATAGACTACTGGGGGCTAAACAATGTGACGATTAAAAATAAGTATCCACTGCCCCATATTGATGAGTTGTTCGACCAGTTGCAAGGAGCAGTGGTCTTCTTGAAACTAGACCTCCGCCAAGGGTATTACCAGTTGTTGATTAGGAAAGAGGATTTCTCGAAAATCGCTTTCAACTCGAGATATGGGCATTACGAGTTCGCAGTTATGCCCTTTGGATTAACCAATGCTCCTGCCGCCTTCATGGATCTAATGCATAGGATTTTTAAGCCCTACTTGGACCGATTTGTCGTTGTTTTTATTGATGACATCTTGGTCTACTCCAAAACTCGCGAGGAGCATGAACAGCACCTAAGAATTGTTTTGCAAACTCTAAGAGAGCATCGGTTATACGCCAAGTTCAGTAAGTACGAGTTTTGGCTGGAGAAAATTTCTTTCTTAGGGCACGTAATTTCTCATGAGGGCATCTCGGTTGACCCGGCGAAAGTAGAGGCCGTGACCAATTGGAAAGTGCCAGAAAACCCCACGGAGATTCGTAGTTTTCTAGGGCTGGCTGGGTACTACCGGCGTTTCATTAAAGATTTCTCCAAACTAACCGATCCTTTAACCGACCTGACAAAGAAACATGGTCGGTTCGTATGGAATGCCCGATGTGAGACAAGTTTCAAAGAGTTAAAGAAAAGATTGACCATGGCTCCAGTTCTAGTCTTGCCTAACGGAGTAGACGGGTTTGCCGTTTATACCGATGCGTCGCGAGAAGGCCTGGGATGCGTTTTAATGCAGAACCGGAATGTGATATCTTTTGCCTCTAGAAAGTTGAAACCCCACGAGCAGAACTACCCAACTCACGATCTTGAGTTAGCCGCGGTTGTTTTCGCTCTGAAGAAGTGGAATTTGCGTACAATAACAGCTATCATTCGTCAATTCAAATGGCTCCATACGAAGCACTTTATGGGAGAAAATGTTGGTCACCGATCTACTGGGATGAAGTCGGCGAGAGGAAAGCCCTAGATCCAACGACTATCCCATGAATGGATGAGGCACGAGAAAAAGTCAAGTTGATACGACAAAGGCTCCAAACAGCTCAAAGCCGGCAAAAGAGCTATGCGGACAATCGAAAAAAAGACTTGGAGTTCGAAATCGGGGACCGTATTTTCCTCAAGATCACACCGTTACGGAGCGTCACAGCGGGAAGAGAAAAGAAGTTCCAACCGAGGTTCGTTGGACCTTTCAATATTCTCCAAAGGGTTGGTAAGGTAGCGTATCGCCTTGAGCTACCGTCCAGTCTCTCTCGAATTCACGACGTCTTTCACGTCTCGATGCTTAAGAAGTACTATCCCGATCCATCCCATATCTTACAGCCAGAGGAAATTGAAATAGATGAATTGCTCACTTACGAAGAGAAACCTGTACAATTGCTTGACCGAAAAATTAAAGAGTTGAGAAACAAGCAGATTCCGTTGGTTAAGATACTGTGGAGGAATCATGGGGTGGAGGAAGTTACCTGGGAGGTGGAAGAAAAAATGCAAAAGAAATATCCTGAACTTTTCGTGAGTCAAGGTGAGAAATTTCGAGGACGAAATTCTTTTAAGGGGGAGAGGGTGTGAGACCCCGTAAATTTTCTTATTTTCTAGGTTTTATTCTATTTAATTGCATGCTTTTCTGCATTTTCTTTATTGGGAAAATTTTTCAGATAATTTTTATGAGAAAATAGAGTTTTGAAATGATTTTTCTAGTATCGGTTAGTTTTTGAGAAATTAAGAGCGTATACCAGACGTGGGACCCGCTAGTGCGGAAAGTTCGGTAAAATTCGGCCAGTTAGGTTAAGTGTTGAATACCGGATTTATTTTAGGAGGTGTTAAGAGATAATTAGAGGATACCAAATGGATGAGAGTTGGTGAGACAAAAGGATAGCCATGCATTAATGGTAGTGACAAGTGTCACTTGGTGGTTAATTCTTGATTTTGACCACTATTCACTGCTTTATCAATTAAATCAAAAATTACCCAAAAATCATCTTCATTTCAAGCTTCTTGTGGCCGGCCTCTCTAGGAAGAAAAGAAAAGAAAAACTCTCCAATTTCTTGCTCCAATCTTGCTCAATCCAACAAACCAACCGATTAATCTTGAATTTTCTCCATAAAAACCCTTAGTTTAGTGATTGTGAGGTGATTAGTGAAGTGATTTGGAAGACTAAGGTGCTAAGTTGTCTCCTTTCTTTGGTTGATAAGGTGAGTAGCTAAGGAACCTCTCTTTTCTATCTAATGATGTTTAATTAGTGGCTTGTGGTAGTCTAAAAGGTGATTTTGTGGGCTATTTCATGATTTTGGTTGAGATTGGTGAATTTTTCTATTTATTCATGATTTTTCTGTTTTTATACGTTTAATATTGATTGGCCATGGATGATGGTTGGGAATGATCTAGAATGAAGTTATTGTGCGTAAATTGTGGCTATTTGCGAAAAATTTCCGCTTTGAAATGAAATTTCGGAATTAGGGTTTCAATGAATCCCATTCTGCCCGGTACTATTTTTTCTAGTTAGAGGTCGAATTAGCCTTGGGTTAAAACATAAAAGTTATAGAAAATGATGTTTTATAGTTGTCTGCAAAATTTCAGCTCAATCGGAGCAGCGTAGCCTATGAAAAGACCGAAATACCCCTTCTTCCCTGTTTCTGTCCGAAACTGATAATCCGCTTCTGTAATTGGTTAGTTTGACCAGGAATACTACTGATTTGGTTGTCAATGTCTTCTTAAGAAATATATAATGGTATCTTAGCTTTCGGATGGCTTTGGAATCACTTGAATTGGACTTCGGTAGCCTGAGTTGTGGTTATTTAACCAGAATGCAGTTCGCTACCCTGTTTATGCGGTTCTCGTTTGGTACATTGAAATTTTGTCCTAGTTGCACTACAAACTGGACTGAGTGGCCTTCTTCAACATTGTAGCCCTTTCGTTTAGCTTCTAAACGGTGTATATTTTACATCCATCTGATAATCGTAGTGTCGGTTGTGTCCAATACGCTAAACGACGTCAAAACCGCTTTTGGGTTTTAGGGCTTAACTTTCATTTCCGGACTTTCCCTAGCTTACTTTGGTACTTATACATTCTAATGGAGCCTTATTTTTTGTAGTATGTGGATTTGGTTTATGACTTGTAATCGAGTCTTATTGTGCTTGTTTGAATGTTTTAGGGCGTGACGGTGATTCAAGACGCTCTTTGGGCAGAAGTTTATGAAATTTCATTTGCTTGCTTGGTGAGTGTACTACTCACTTGCTTGTTACTATGTGGCTTTGTTACACTTGAACTTGATGCCTTGAATGCTTATTTGCACCGTTGAAACTGATTAAAGTGAGGGTGTACTTGATCACTCTCACCCTTTTGTCTCATATATGACTGTTTACTGTGGTACTTGAATGGTTCATGAAATACTAGATTTGGTGTCGTTTGGACGAGTATCCAACGGCAATTACTATTACTACTGAGCTCAACCCCATTGGTAGTCGATTGAATCGAGCCGACAAGGGTTTGGTCGTGAAAATTGACGAGCCATGGGGACTGTTATATGGAATCTTGTAGTATGAGACTCTCGATTCCGGTATACTCGAATATTACCAACTTTATACTGTTTGGAGTTCGGGCCCGGTAGGGGTATGTTAGATGGAAGGAATGGAAGTAAAGTGGAGTCTACGTTTGGTTACACTTTGTACATTGACAGAGGGTCAATGATTTACGATCAAGTATGGGGGGTGAGCGAGGAAAGGGGCTCTTGAGAGCCGTCCATATCCTTTTACCATTGTTATTGATATGTGACTTTATTTAGCTTTCTTCTTGAATGATTTGGGATTGATCGACTCTATGTATAATTGAACTTCCTTGCTTGAGTGAAAGTATCTCACTGGGCGTAAGCTCACTCCATTAAATTTTGTTTTCCTTACAGGGAACCACTTTTGGGGACTATGATGTTTTGAAGCATGAGTTGAGCTAGTTTTAATATATTTAGTAAAGCTCCTCGATAGTTGGAAAAACCCTAAATGTATTTTGATCTACTTATCTTCCTTTTATTTTGTAAATTACAAACGTATGTGTATAACACTGTTTAACCCTGTTTATGTGTCCTATTTGGTTTGAAAATATTTTTTCGAGTTATATGACATGGCACCCACTTTTCATCGACGGTTTGATTTGCGTTTGGCTATTTTGCGATTTCAACTTGTTTGAACGCGCTTTTATTTTCCCGGAACGTTTTAGATCGTGTTTGCCTGCACCATTAGTGCTGGCGAGAGTTGGGCAAGCAGTCCGCTAACCTCTTTGGTTCACCTTAGGGGAAGGTGAGGCTGTTACACACTGTGTACTATAGGCACTAGCAAACCAATTGTAGACATTAAGATACAACTACATGCAAAAAGACAATAAATTGCCTCGCTTATTGAAATTTGTACCCAAAATTGAATTGTAAGCATCAAATTCAAAATTAGTCATCTTCCACTATTTTTTCAAGGTAAAACTGTAAGTTCATTGATATGGGACAAGTTTGTACAAGAGATGGAATATCTCAATATACATGTTAAACTAATTATCATAGGATCCCGTATCAGAACATTTCACTAACTAAACACTGTGAGTGGGATATTCCATTCTAGAGATTGCCACCTTTCATGAGACTTTGGGATCTTTCCCCATGCAACAGACCTCCTCCTCTACTATAGCTTCCATGACGCTAACTGTCGAAACTACTATACCCAATTATTATTGATGTAACTTTTATTCATCTTTCACTGTCAACTGTTCTATACAATCAAAACTGTGTTCATAGAGAACTTGAATCCAATGGAGGCAATTTTGGGCAGAGCCATGCAGGATTCCACTATTCTGAAGAAAAATAATTAAATGATAGTACACTGGTCTTTTTGCATAATAAAGGGTCTAGAGACAAATATGGCATTTTCCTAATTAGTAATTGTCCAACGTTCCATGAAGCCTTACGATTCATTAATTAGCTGAGTGATGGGCGTGTACCTTCCTGATAAATTCATAAGCTTGATCAGAGGCTTGAAAATCTGAAGATTGAGAAGCTTTTGCAGTCTTAGCATAAGAAAAACCCGTTCCAACTGGCGAATCCAGAAAGATGATGCTTACAACCTAACAAGTAACAAGAAATGATTCTCAATCTTGCAGTCTACTCGAATTCTTAATCTTGAAAATTAGGTTTGTTTGGATAAAGATTATTTGAACATTATTCCAAAAAAAAAAAGAAAAAAGAAAAAATTTGGAACCTTATTTACATATGTATCTCAATAACCTTTTCATGTAACACTTCTATGAGTCTAAGATATACTCATCAACTTAAATCTCTTTTTCTCTCGCAAGAAAATAAAAGAAAAGAAAAGAGAAACTCAATTCTTGAGTTTACCTTGGTCCAAGTAGAGGGATTTAATACCAATTTGGGCAGAGTGCCGTCGAACGACAATGGCTCCAAAATTACTGGTCCTGCAACAGAAAATCACGGCCAGTGACTTGATCAAATGCTGGCACTCCAGTCTATCAGTCATCCTCACTTGAACATTAAAGACAAATAAAGATTATGGCTCCATTTGAATTAGCTGTTTTTAGGAACATTTTTCAAAAGCTTTATTGTATATTTTGGGCTTTTTAATTTGATGTGAACGTGTAGTTAGTTATTGTACAGATGTTTGTAGCAGTTGCTACTGGCGACAAATGGATGCTATTCAATAAAATTAATACTTTTACCCAAAAAAACAAAACAAAACAAAAGACCTTACATAAAGCTTCGTCAACCAGACAACGTCTTTTGTCTTTTTTGCAGAGTTTCAACCAGAAAGGCTGTTTGCAGAGTTTCAAGATTATACAAAATCAAGATCAAAATAGTGCCGCAATTGTTCTTTTTTTTTTTTTTTTGTGACACCTACTGCAAAGTGTAAGGCATTAGAATTCACCTATCCCAAAGAAAAGTGGAATAAATGAACTGCAGCCAGGGCCTCCATCTAACCAAATGATAAGAGGATCCGATTGAGGATTTGACTCTGACTTGATAAAAGCGTAGAAGAGCTGCACATCCTCTGATTCACCAACTCCAATATACCTGATAATATCAAAAAATGGATCAACTGTTTCTTCTAAGTTTTGATCAATGTTAATTTCTAGTCATATATATATATATATATATATATATATATGTTATACTTAGTGGCTCACCCGGTTTCGAGTTCAAAGGGGAGGGGTCCTTCAAATCCTGGAAGAAACTTAACTATGGAACCAGCCATAGCAAGGTTTGAACATAAACTAGCAGCAAGAACAGGCCGCAGAAGATAGGATGCCTTAGGAGCACCTGCAACTTCTCCATAGAGCTTGGCCTATCCTCGTTTAGGGCACTAGGCAGAGCAACTTTAGACTCCAGACACTTGGATAGAGTTCTTGGAACTTTGGAACTCTAACCCAAAAGCTGCTATGTCTACAGAGAATCGCCTTATCAGAGCCACAAATTTAACTGACCCTAGCAACACAAATGTCTTGTTTGCCAACTCATGCATTGCCGGATCGAACTATCATTGGAAATGATAGCTTTTCTGTAAAGGGGCATGGAAAAGACTTAGCACCGGTTTTCAAAGATGGTCCAAATTACGTTACATTACTTGGTCAAATGGTGTGTAATACAATTTCAACTAATTTTTTAAAACTAAAGTTTACCTAAATTTTAACCGTATATAAATAACTATCCAAATGTTTGCGAAAAGATGATAGGATAAAATCGGCCAAGTACCAATAAATGATCGATCAAAACAAAGCAACTCATCAGAATAATTTATCAAAAAAAAAAAAAAAGGTCTCACAATCCTTTGAGCTCTCTCATTTTAACTACTTAAAATATGTTTCAAGCAAATTATAAATCATACAATGCTAAAATCTCTACACTAGATAACTTTGTTATGGGTATCTTAGTTGGTGGACGCTTGGCATGTGTTAAAAAATTAATATACGAGTTTGGTTTATTGAAGAATTTTTGAAGTTGCCATCCAACTTTCAAGTTACGTGCACTTTTCTTTACCAAGTGTCATACTTAAATTTTTCTTCTTAAAAAGGTGGCGTAAGGACAAAATAAAATTTACCTTGTTATAAAAATTGCTTTATTTTTGTTTTAAGTAGTAACATGTAATGAGATTGAGGGAAGGGCTTCTTGCTACGTGAGAAATGTCATAATACGGTTGCGTCGGGATTTAAATTAGATTTTTCTATTTTTCTCACATATCGAGTTTTGTCTTTATAGATATAGATTTAATAATTGAGTCAAACCACATTAATCTTGTATTTACTTGAAGTTTCAAGTTTTTTATTTGCTTCCTTTAAATTGTCATGCACTTAATTTTTCAATGATTCTTCGTTTGCTCTTGGATCTTAGCATCTGGTATAATATCATAGCTAGGTTTTGGTCAATTATTGATATTAAGTTAGTTGCGGTAATTTTCAATTCAATAATTTAATAGAAAAAGAATATTTATGTCAAAAAGTCTTGGCATTGAAGGGGAAGGATCGAAAGACAACAAACATAGAGGATATTTGACAGTAAATTTGGGCAAGTGATTCAGAGGACATGGAAAAATATAGAGTCCAGTGTTAAATTAGGATGTAATTTAGTGGAATGTTCTTAACAATTTCGAATGGTATGTACTTGATGTTGGATGTGTTTCAGCTTTGTTGTTTGAGCGGTATGACACATGTATCAAAAAATTCAAAAAAAAAAAATCTAACTCTCATGCATCCCGAGACTCTCAAAGTTACGAGGTTTTCATTAATGGTGGAATTTTAAAAAGCACACACAGGCGAGACAATATTGTGAAGGTGAGAAATATGGTGATTTAAAAAAAAAAAATTTGTTACTTGATTACCTCAATAGTTGGGAGCAGAATTAAAAAAGGGATCCAAGATAACTTTCAGGTTGTAAGTACTGGTGAAAAGGAAAATCCTGCAAACTTAAGTCAGCTAAAGGTTGGACTCGGATTAGCTATATATGGACGTTACAGCAACGTAATAATTCGGTATGTATAACTACATATCAAACTTTTTGGTGGAGATTATTAGGAAATTACTTATATTGTTTAGGCAATTTTTATTTTGTGTGACAAGTAAATAGTTTCTAGTAATTTATACGTATTTGGAGTAGTTGCCAAGAAATTTTGTATTTATATACGTTTGGAAATCAAGTAAGTTATTTTTTTATTATTATTGGAGAATTTTTCAAGTAATATATCCTATTAATTGAAGGGGACTGTCATATCATAAATTAAAGTACACAAAAAAGAGTCATGTGTTATAGATAAGAGTGAGAAAAAGGACTTTGGTATATGAGAAATATTACACAAGGTTTGGGTTCAGAATTCAAATTGTATTTTTATATGAACTTTTTTCATAATAAAGAATGGGTTATTAATATGAACATGTTAAATCTTTCCTGTCAATTGTATTTTCTTGTTTTTGACTCATTTTCCTTGAATTGTTATTAACTTGATGTTTTATTAGTTGCTTATTTAGTGCTTCAATCCCAATAATAGGTTAGTCGATTTCAATTTTCTGTTTTGGTAAGATAAAAGTTTAATCATTGCTCATTGCAGATTTGGGGACCAACAATGAAGACTTTCCTAGTTTTTGTCAAAATATTTCTTTGATGTTAATTGGCAAAATCGATTTTAATTTTTTGTCCTTTGTTTTCGTTTTCCTTCAAATTATCGTGGGCCAATTGCTGTTCATGTACGAGGAACGCGAAAACTCCGTGCAATTATAGTACAGTTCTATGTGAGGTCCAAATCCAATACCATAATTGTGGCCTTACATGTGATATCCCAACTTTTAGGATACTATTGTTGTTTAGTCTCAAAGAGAATATTACGGTTTCTTTATTTTATTGTTTTGTTTTACAGACTAGAAACCCTAAATTCTAGAAATAAAGTCTAATCAAAACCCTAGTTTCATTTGTGACTGACCATTTTTTCAAATTTCTCATATTTTAACCGAAACCCTAAATTCAATTTATGGAATTGTAAAACCCCTCACGTTTTCTCAAAAATGCCCTTTTAATTGGAAATTATGATTTTATAATAACCCTACCACCCAATCACCCCACAATAAGTGCAAATGAACATGAAAGTAAAGGTTTTCACTTTTCGTTTTCAAGTTGGAGCAAGTTAGAATTTTCACATTTTTTTGTAGTGTAATTATCCGGTATGGAGTAAGGATCAAATTTGGTGCTTAAGAGTGACTTTTAGGTGAGAAATAATATGTGATTAGAAGCAATGATATAAAGTTAGTGAATAGAAAGTAAAAACCCTAGTACGTGTGATTTAAGGAAAAACAGTGCGAACCGACGGGTACCGTGCACTTCTGATTGAACGTACCACTTGACCACCACTTTCTTACCATACAAGATCATTATTATTTGAGCAAAATATCCCCTCAATTCCAGCTGGCTTTGACCGAAAATTTGGACCAAAATGGCAAGGAAAAGAAACAAAAAAAAATGAGTGGAGATTGGTGAGGACACTTGTCGGCCATCTAAGGGTCTTGACCAAGACTAATTGTCTTGCCTTCTTATCACCAAGGAGCAGCCTTTCTTCCTCATTTTTCTGCTACCTTGGCCGAGAGAAAGAGAGAGAGAAAAATCCAAGGGAGAGCTACCCAAATCCATCTTGAAATTGGATCATCCAAGTAAGGAACCAAAATTCTAAACCGATTAAAGTGTGAGTTGTGACCTTGGGAAGCTAAGGAAACCAAAAATTCCAAGAGGAGGCGAAGTATTACTCTTGCAAACTTCTTTTGTTGAGGTATAAGGTCTAACCCATAGCTTTGGTTCTTGTATTTTTTATTAAGATGATATATAATTCATGTTTTGATTAGATTAGTTGTGATACAAGTTGTTGTGATGATTTTTAAGGTGATATATGTAAGTTAGGGTTTGACGATTTCTGCCTATACTTGCTATATGGATGATATATGTTGTATCTAAACTTATATAGGAGGTTTTGGTGGTGGATTGAGGCAAGAAATGAAGAAATTTTCTTTGAATCCCAAAATTTTCAGATTTCTGGAAAATTTCAGCAGATTTCTGGAAAATTTCAGCTTTGTTCTGTCCGGTTTTATTGCATCATGTTAGAGGCCGAATTAGGTTTAGCATAAAACATGAAAGTTGTATAGAATGATATTTTATAGGTGCCGACAAAATTTCAACTCAATCGGAGTAACGTAGCCTGTGAAAAGATCAAAATACCCTCGCTGCCTTAGGATATTTTCAGTGATCCGTTTTAGACAGTTCATCTAGTTGACTGCATCTGTTCACTATGTTCCGTGCTGATTTAGCCATTTGTCAAAACATGAAAGTTTTAGTACTCTGTCTTAGCTTTTAAACGCCTCAAAGAACGCCTTAAACGGACTTTGGTAGCCTGAGATATGACCATTTGAATTAGCCGATTAGTTGGAAGTTGGTTCTGTGAATTGGGAATTTGACTGGGTTACACTAGAAATTTGACTAAGTGGTCTTCATGAAAGTTGTAGGGCTTCGTCTTAGCTTCGAAACGGTATAAGTTGTACACCAATCCGATAAGCGTAGCCTCGGATGTGTCCTTTCCGTAAAATCCTATCAAATCTGTCTTTTACTAAAACTCATTTCCGCACTTGTTGTTAGTTGATTTTTGTCCTTGTATTGTTTTGAACCTATTGGACGGCTATTGAAGTTAGATTGTTGTGTGTGTACCTTTGGATTTGAATGAGAAAAATAATGAAGCCAAAATGGCTGGAAAATTAGGTAAACACAAAGGGCATGCTGCCCAAATTTATGCTCGAGGACTAGAGAAATATACTTGCAACTTGAGTAAGGGTTAAGAGTGATTGCCACTTGAACTATCTAGGATATTTGCGTCTTCTTTTCCGAGGTATATAAGTAAGGATTTGGCCGAACTTGTACCCTTAAGAAATACAACCATGACTACTAGAAATATGTTTTCCTTGTACTTTCGACTCAAATGGCATTTCCAAGTATAAATGTTACAAAGTTATATAGTTTGAAAAGCGAGCGAGTGTTTCACGAATATTCTCCCAGTGAATTTCCATGTCTTGATTCTTATTGAACGAAACGTCTACGTTTCGAACCTTAGTTGATTTTTAAAGTCCTGAAACAAAGTTTTATCGCAGATTTGGACTCCGAACCCGGAGTATAACACAGACGTGATTACTAGGGGTACTTCATTTTGGTGAGTGCTTCCAAATACCTGATTGAACTGGACACTTATTTTCAATACTTGATCAATATGATTAAATGATATATGATTGGCTTGATCGGGTAAGAGTGTAATTTATCGCACTTGCCCTTCTTTGATATATACTTGTTTATTGTTGAAATTGAATTGATATACTTGTTCATGTTGTACGCACTTCCTGAAATTCCAAAAACCCTGCGGCAAGTTACTCGAGTCGAGCCGGCAAGGGCTTGGTCGATTGGGTAACGAACCCTGGGTCTCTTGATTGTCGAGTTGAGTGATATCTACTCGACTAATCGGTATACTCGAGTATTACCACCCGTGTTTCTTGAGGATTTTGGGCCCAGTAGGGGGTTTGAATGGTGGACGGAGAGTAGCGTAAGGGGTGCTCTACTGGATTGATTCCTTTACTTGAAAGTTGACGGAGTGTCAACTACTACGTGATCAAGCTTCTGGTAATGCAATGGGAATTTGGCTCCTGAGAGCCATCCGTATCCTTATACTTTGGAATGATTATTGCTTATTGGATTATTGACTCTTCTGAAAAACTTTTACACTCGTTCATTTTGAGACTGCTACTTGACGTGTTATTGCTCACTTTTATGAACTCTTCATACTCGTTACTTTGCTATATCAAAAACTTGTACATATAAATAATGGTCAATTTTCTATTTGGAACCTCACTGGGTTTGTAGCTCATTCCACTCCATTTGTTTTCCTTACAAGGGTACGAGCGAGGCGTGAGATGTGTAAAGACTAGCGTAGCCTAGTTGTTTTTTACTTTTGACTTGTACTCGCGCTATCACTTGATTAGGATGATTTATACTTGGATTGTATACACTTTAAACCAGTTTGAGTATGTAGAGGCTTTGTATCTTGAATGTGTACCGATGTAAGTTGTAAGTGTGAATTGCGAAGTTATTTATTGTCGACGGTTGTATGCACGTGATACGAGTGAGTGAGTCCTGACGAGAGTTGGGCAGGCGGTCCGCTAAACCCTAGGGTACGCCCAGGGGGAGGTGGGGCCGTCACATTACAACTGTAGTACAATTCTCGGTCAGTTCCAGAACTTGTCTCGCATGCAAGTTTTTAGTCTAATTTTTAATAAACAAGTCTTTTAACTATTTTGTTTACGGTAATCCTCTATAAACATCTCAAAATTTTTAATGTACACTTCCCGTAATATCTAAGAACATGCAAATTTTTCACTTTTTCCAACATTTTCTTCCTTCTCCCCCACCTCAACCCACCACTGTCGGCCAGCCGATGCCAACGTCACCAACTTGCAACCTCTTCTTCCACCCCTCTTCCCTATTCTCTCCTTCCCCCCCCCACGTCCCTCCCATAGTTCATCAGAATTTCTCACAGAGTTCATCAGAAATCAGGCCCATACTATAAGCAAACGGGACTACATAGTAAAAAATTCCATGAACTTTAGTCGCTTGGTGTCCAAGTATGTATCCCTGAAGACATAAATGGAAATGTCTCAGTTTTAACCTCAGGATGGTAAATTTTTCTCCAAATAGTATGTAATCAATCTAGTTTATGTAGACTAGAAAAGAGAAGATCATCAAACGTAAGTTTTAGGGCCTTCATAATTAATCTTATAGTCATAGAGCGACAAATTGTTGATCCTATACTCTTTGTATTTAGCAAACTTCAACTGATCATCTCGTGGTAGGAGATAACATAGAACTCTGAACTATTGAGGTCCAACATGAAAGAATACTAACGCAATGAAGGTATAAAGGATCCCATAAACTCACATCCTAAGTATCTCTTAAATGAAAGTTTTCAAAGAAATGTTTTCCTTTTTTATCCCAGAGCGTCTTATAACTTAACATATTGACAAAAAAGAGTAAAAAGCGGGAAAATGATAGTTTTCATCCCTAAAATTGATGCCATAGATATATTTCGTTCTCAAACTTTTTAACATAACACATTAGTATTTAAACTATCAATTATTGACCAATTTCATCTTCAAATGAAAAATTAATCAATTTAAACACTTGAATGAAATGTTGCTTGTCGGATGAAAGGTTGAAGTTATTCCAACCTCGGGCCAATGTGAATGGTAAATTTTGAGTTTATTTTGTATCGATTGTGGAAGCGACAGTATATTTGATTATAAGTGTGAGGGAAACCTTAACTTTTGGGATAGCTTTTGTGATGAGAAGGCCCAATAACACCCAACACTCGGGAAGGCAACGAGGGATACCCACCCCCCATGGGTTGATGTGTTAAATTTTTGTTAGTTATTGTGGAAGCAAATAGCGACGAGATCAATTTTTTATCATTCTCCAGCAAACATCCCGGGGGGAGCTAGCAGAAGTAGGAGCAAGAGAGAGAGGAGCACGGGCAAAAGATGGGGTGGGTGTAGGGGGAGATGTTTGGCAACAGGGCAGGAGACGGGGAGGGATCCCCCAGTCCCATTGCCATCCCTATCCAACATTGTTATCGGAGCGTAGTAATGGCAACTCCTCTTACTAGACAATTAAATGCAATGTTGTCCATCAAATAAAAGGTTGATATTGTTCCAACTTAAGACCCAATGTGTGAGGGGGAGATAGTTGTGAAAGATGCAGGATGCCTGATTAATGTGTGAGGGGAAACAGCACCTAACAGATTTTAACTATATCTATGATTGAACTAGCATGTATTGAGATTTAAGAGTACAATTCCTTCTGCCCCATTGGTACCTAGACCCACAAATTTTAAGTTTCTTGTGTAATTGTTCAATCATATCTCAGCCAAACTCATTTTTTGGACAAATTGGACCACACAGGTCGGTTCAACCGATTGAAACAGAAGCAAATATGGGACCAATCTAGTTCAAAGGATATAAAATAGGCTAAAATCAGATCAATCCCATGGTGGAACTTAAGCTTGCTGGAGATTGAAATATAAATTAAACTAACGTACATAATCTTCTTTATCTTGCTGAAAAGTTGTCCACAGTTTCATTGTATGGTTGACTCCTAGTTACAATTCGTCCACGTTTTCACTATAAGATTGGCTCTCTATTATACTTCATCAACGACTTCATTGCATGGTTAATATCATATTTTTCGTCAATCACTGCCCGCCAACTTTCCATGTCTTCTGTGTTGGACTCAGATCTTGTAGTATTTGTGACTGATCCTGTGTCTCACTCGATTAGATCAAATAACTTTGATTCCACAATACTCTGAATTTTGTTTGAACTATGTATGTGCTTATTTATTACCAACACTCACTTTAACTCTCATAATTCTCAAAAGCATATGGTTTCAGATCTTGATGTTGATAGTCTAGAACTACATCAATATTTGTTAGATCATAGTGAAATTTATTAAAAGGATATTGGAAAAGTAAAAATTAGATACTCTGAAGATTTTCCAAAAGTTATGAATCAACTTATAAGTACTCAATAAACCCTAATAAAGAATACGACATATGAAACAATACTACGTAAAAGCATGAAAAGTTTAATTAACTAAGATTAAGATTCTAAGAATTGGATGACTTGGATTTAAATCCTTCTTTCCCTTTCTGCCTCCGTACTAAAAAGGGCAATGCACTTTTATAACTTACTTTATCATGATACTGCTCCTCCTGAAAAATCATCAAGTACCCAGATGTGAACTTTCTATTGTCAAGATCACCTGCTATATTTTCATTGGTATACCCATCTAGTATAGTTTTATTAAGATTCTAAGAATTGGATGACTTGGATTTAAATCCTTCTTTCCCCTTCTGCCTTCGTACTGAAAAGGGCAATGCACTTTTATAACTTACTTTGTCATGATATTGCTCCTCCTGAAAAATCATCAAGTATCCAGATGTGAACTTTCTATTGTCAAGATCACCTGCTATATTTTCATTGGTATACCCATCTAGTATAGTTTTACCATTGCCGAAACACAAACACAAATTGGAAGTTCTCTTAAGATACCTGAGAATCCATTTGATAGCATTCTGATGCTCCTTACCAGGATTAAATAGATACCGACTGACTATTCCAATTGCATGAGCAATATCTGATCTAGTGCAAATCATAGCATACATCAAACTACCAACAGTTGAGGCATAAGGAATTTTCTTCATGTCTTCCTTATCTTTCTTACTTGTAGGACACTGCTTGATGCTCAATCTAAAGTGACCCGCAAGTGGAGTAGAGAATTACTTAACTTTATTCATGTTAAACCTGTCAAGAACCTTCTCAATGTACCTTTCTTGAGTTAACCAAAGCTTCCCAATTTTGCCTGTTTCGTGATATTTTCATCCCCAGTATCTGTCTAGGCCCTAAATCCTTCATTGCGAAGGATTTACTTAGCTTCTTTTTCAATCCATCAATTTTTATAGTATCACGGTTAATAATCAACATGTCATCAACGTATAGCAAGAGAATAATAAAATTACCATCTGAAAAATTTTTCACATAAATACAGTGATCAGATGTAGTCCTATGGTACTCATGGTCTATCATGAAGGAGTCAAATTTCATGTACCACTGCCTTGGTGCCTGTTTCAACTCATACAATCTCTTCTTGAGACAGCATATAAGATTTTCCTTGCCACTTTTTTTGAACCCTTCCGATTGCTTCATGTAAATCTTCTCTTCCAATTCACCATGCAAGAAGGTTGTCTTCACATCAAGTTACTCGATCTCCAAATTTAATCTGGCTGCAATACCTTGTAGACACCAAATTTTTATCAATTTTAAATATTTTCTTGAATTTTTTCTATTTAATGAGTTATTTATTTTCTTACATTTTAATGTGTATTTTTCTTATTTTTGCAGGTTTATTTTAGGAAAAAGAAAAACAAACAAACAAACAAACAAAAAGAAGAAAAAAAAGAGAATCAAGAAATCAAAAATCATCCTAATTATTTCTGTTTCACCAAAACCACTATTGACCCATTTTTGCACTCCATCCTTATTGACCTTTCTTCTCATTTTGGTAAAAAATCCATCATGTTATCTCATGGATCTTTCTTGTCTTTTGGTGAAGATAATCATTTTTTGGCAACCAAATTCCATTGACTTTTTGACATCCCTTTCGGCTCTCTCTTGGCTTTGGACAAGAAGCACACTATCCACAACAAAAACTTGGACTCTCGGCCTTTTCTTTTGCTCCCAACAGACAAGACACCATCAGACACAAGAAGGGAAGAAAAAAGGGAACAAGAAGACACTCCCTTGGCCTCTCTATCCCTCTCGGCTCTCTCTCAACTTTTTGACCCCTAAACAAAAAAGACAAAAACTCAACCAATAGAAAGAATTTTTCCCTCAACCTCTCGGCTCTATCCCTCCATTTTCTCAATTCACACAACATATCCTCCTACAAAATTAAACACAAGAGAAGGCAAGCAATTGGGGTGCGAGGTGCTGGAATTCCTTTAAAATTTGATCGAAGAAGCTCTTGCTTGAGTTGAGATATTTTTCCAGTTTTATTAACCATGTCAAACCCATATTATATCATTTAATTTTCTGGCTTTTGCTGTCTTTTATTATTGTTGTTGTGTTGTTCAAAATTTGGGAAATGGCTTGAGCTAGTGTCGCGCCCAATTTTTTCGAAAAATAAAATTACGATTACGGGTTTATAAAAATGGAATTTTTGATTGATTTTGAGTGAAAATGAGTTTTTGATTTCTAGAAAATAAATAAAGAAAATGGGCCTAAATGGGACTTAAAAAATGCGACGATTTTGACCCAAAATAATAGTTTAAAAAGGGTTTTTAACAAAAATTGGAGTCACTATTTGGTATTGAGTTAAGGTGTATCATGTCAACTAAAATGAATTTAAATAAATAAAAAGTAAAGAAAACCCTTTTTAAACAACTCCAAGTTTTCGAAAATCAAGAGAAATGGGTTCAGGAGTCACGGTTGAAGAAAGGGAAGGCAATGATGAAATTCAAGGCACCCTTTCAACCTAACTAAGACTAGTTGCGTGATTTAGACGAAAAACTTTTCTTAATTTAACCTAAAAACTTATCACATTTGGATGTTACTATATGCATGCAAACCTAGACCTAATGGTTATCGGGAGGGTTAATATCTCTCTTCGAATTTTAATTGGTGCAAATCGCATTAATTGCGATGCCCAAGAGTGACTCTTTGAAGAGGTCACGAATATGCAAAATATGAGACTCGAAGAAAAGAAGGGAAAAAAAAATAATATACAAATATACATGACCTAAAGGAATGCATCATAACGGGTGCGGGGAACTTAAGATTTGTGACTAGATTTTCCTTTTTATAGAGGGAATACGAGCGTGCTAAGGTTAAGAAGTCATACTCGTCCATATCTCATATTTAAAGGGTGATTTTCCTAATTTAATTAAGCAAATGCATTAACCTACTTCTAATTTTTCTTAAATGGGTTGCAAGTCTAAATGTCATGTTTCATACATAAGAGTAAAGGATATACATATAGAGGAAATAACATGCAAAATGGTAAAGATCCTAAAAAGTAGAAAATATGCATGAAATGTAGTGATTGTCACGCAAGCATATGATCTAACGCGTGAACGGTCCCTAAGAGTCTAGCGTTGGACTAACCCAAGTCTATAAGTTTTCACTAGTGTTGGACTAGTGAGAAATCAGAAGAAATGGCCACAACTAACGTTGGACTAGTTTGGTGACGTAATCAGGAAATGGGCCACAACTAGCGTTGGACTAGAATGGTGACATCATGCATTTTATTATAATCATATAAATCATATAAACATAATAAAAATAAATAAACACATAAATCACATAGAGCACATAGCACGTAAGCATGATATCTAGATGCAAAGACCCTAAGAAAGCGAGTAAACACATAAACACATAAACACACAAGCATGCAAGCACACAAAACAAATAAGAACAAATAGAGACCTATCTATTACATTTGGGGGGTCTAACTACAATCTAAGGGGGAAAGAATAAAATAATAAAATAACTATCTAACTATTACATATTCTATCTAAATACATGTTTTGAATCCCCTAACTATTACAATTTGGCATTTAAATGCCTCTCAAATAATAAAAAATTAAATTAAAATAAATATACAAAATAAAAAACAAATAAAAGTGAATAAATAAATAAAAATTAAAAAAATCATGCAATTACACACATAAACTCACATAGGAAGATTTAAAATAATACAAGAAGATACCTCCCTTGACGCAATAGCTAATTGGGGTGTGGATTTATCCTATTTAACTCCAAAATTAACAAAAATCATTAAGGCACCAATTTAAAAAAAATAACATGTAAAGAAATGGAAATAATCATGAATTTTATCAATTAGAGTATTTAAATGAAGCATAATTACTAATTAAGGAAGATAATCAACATATATTTAAGAAATTAAAACAAGTAAGGACCTAATTGCAAAAATTAATAAAATTTTGAGGGAAATTATCATTATTACAAAATTTAAGGGTCAAAATGAAAGCAAAATAAAGTTTAAAGACTTATTTACAATTAAATTAGGGATCTATTTGAAAGAAGTTAAAAGTTATTAGGGCCATAATGAAAATACTCAAAAGTATAGGGACCTATTTGCAAATTCATTTTCTGATTTCTTAAGAACATCAGGTCATTGGGCCATTTTTCTTTCTTTGGGCCGAAGGCTCCCTAAGCCCGATCAAACCCAAGAAAATGGGCGGGCTAGCCTTCATTTTTCAACAAAAACAAGCCTAACCCAATAAAGGGGCTTTAATCTGCCAAGCCGATGCTCAAGCCCATAATAATAAGCCTAAGTCCACTTCTAAAACCCAAGCAAAATAGACCAGATTTTTATACCAACCCAACCAAACAAACCTCAATCCAACCCTCCAACTATTTTTACTAAAGCCAACTAGATAAAAATCTATTAAAATTTATTAAAAACTGATTATACTCTAAATCCCAGAAATAATTTACTTAAAAACGCATTTAAACATGGAAAATAGGATCAGAACTCAATAGAAGTTCTGAAAAATTAGAAAAAGAAGAAAGAACAGAAGAAACATGTTCTGCAAAAACATCTTGGCAACTTTGATGCGAATACAAGTTTAAATGAAGCAAGAGAGGTTGAAATACTTCACCTTTAACAACTTAGAGGGTCAAATCGCGTGTCAAACTTCGAGGAAGGAAACTCCAAGATCTGTCGCAGGAGGCGCAAGAATTCTGAACCCAGCAACTTCAAGCCCCGATTCAAGGTAGCAAAGGTGTTCGTTTCAGGAAATTTTCTAAATAAACGTTTTTCTACTAAGATCATAGATGATGCAGCAAGAAAAATCTCCTCAAAAGGAGTTGTAACTAAGGAGAAAACTAAGCTTCAAGGTTGCTAGTCGACCAACCTGGTCAAGCGAAAATTTACCAGAAATTTTGATCTTTCTCCCTTTTTTTGCTCTCTGTTTTTTCTTTTTTCTTTGCTGTTTTTTGCTCCCCCGCCGCTCTCTCACTTCTCCTTTCCTTGGCCGCCTTTTCAAGCCATTCTCTTGCTTTTATATGGAGCCAAATGGATCAAAACCCTTAGAACAAAGGCTGAGATTAAGTTGGGTTTTTTTGGGGTTCATTTTTGGAGCAGTTTGATCTATTTCTCAAGATGCTTCCTGATGATTCCCATTGAGGTGAGCTGTCATTGTACTGGAAATGCTTGGGGCAGAATGGATGAAAAGGCAAATCGTACCAAGCTCCAGCTCTTGCGTCCTCGTTTCTGGTTTTTTTGGCCACAAACATGAAGTTGGGCAGCGCGCGTGCAGATTCAATCTTTTTTTTTTGTGCAAAAAATCGATTTTGATTTTTGTTTTCTTTCCTGTTCTGCTTTTCTTTTCTTTCCAATGAATTAATTAATTAATTAAAAAATGATTTTCTTAACAGAATGGAAATAAAACAAAATCAACTAAAATGAAATAAAAATGCTAAAATTTTGGTGTCTACAGCTAGATTAAGGAAAAAGAAATAATTTTTGTATATGCATGCTAGGTGTTCGAAAAAATGCCTAAATCAAAAACCAAATTAAAGTACCTATTAATGTGCATATTTTTTGTTAAAATAAATTATTACAGCTAGTACAAAGCCTGTAAATGCTTGGTTATCCAAAATTTTGGAGTTTTTGAGCCTT